GCAATAAAGTTAGCGCCAAGTAGAGTAAAGGGAATATACACGGGGACAAAGAGGAAGGAGAAAGGGGGGGGCACACAAGTCAGCGCGCGAGTCGGCGCCCTCGCTCCCGTTCTAACAGTTACACCCTCTGCGGGGCCACAGATGTGGCTTGCTATTCGCGGACCCCCTTCATCCGGCGCCTTACAACGGCCCGTATAATTTAATGTCATTCATCCGACTCGCTTATTGACGCGTCCGTATTAAAATCTGGTAAGAATGCCACCTACACCAGCCGAAAATTGAATGCGCGCGTGCGAAATTGCGTTTCCGTAATTTAATCGCGCGTCACTGTTACGACGACAGCAAGACTCGTGGAAAAGCCGCGTTGTATCTCTCAGAGGGAGAGATCGACGATCCTTGTATCAACCTGGAGTCGTGGAGAAATCGTGCAGAAACAGAAATTATCGCGACGAGATCGCGAAGAAAGCACCGTTTCTGCTTCCGCATATCTAATTCCGACAATATCTATTTGTGTCGGCCAAGCCGAACAACACAAATAAATCCATCCGACTACCAAATGAGAATATTCTATCCATCGAGCTCGCTCGTACACAGTGGCCGCATTTAATTAACACGGAATCGCACTCTCGTCACCGTATACGAAACTGACAACGTGTTCGGGCCGAACGAGTGTCGAATAAAATTATCGCTTAACTCGACATTCGCGCGCGCACACTCTTCGCCTCCGTCTCGGGGTATGCTGGCAATAACGATAATAATACTTCATGCAAATCCTTTAATATCCGTTGATGAAGCTACGCGGCGTCCCCCATTCCGGGGGCTTCACGACACCCTCGGGGATGTTAGACGCGGCATCGCTCTTCCCTGGACATGCCCACCCATCCTTCGATTCAGTGCAGTTGACACTCTGAGAAATGACATGCTTCATTATTATAATATCGTCGTTGCCGCCGACGACGACGACAACGACGACGACGCGTGTGTGCGTGTTGATGCGGCGACGTGCGTTCGCCTCCACACGATTTCATTATATTCATGCACACGCACCGGCGCCATTTGTTCTGGCCGCGAAATGCAAAGTGTCCGAGACAAAGTGCGAGGGATCAAATAGACGCGCGGCATACGCGAGCCTATATATCGTAGCGTAATTTATCCGCTGTGTCGCTCCACTCTTTCGCTTCTATCCATCCATCATCGCGTCACATCATCGAACTGATGTGACTCTGGTGTGACTGCGATCGGGTCGTTTGATTGACGTCTACAACGATTAAAAGAAGGAGAACGCGTTGTGATCATCATTCGTGCATATTACACGGCGTATAGAACAGATGTGGGACGAATTCGCAATTAACTCGGATAACGCAACGGGAGTCGCCGAGGGAGGATTATACGGGAATATTCGAAAAAGCGGCTGTAAAAATACCGCAAGAACAGGCCAAAGTTTTCCCTCCTTCCGCGCGGTATACTCTTGCTTATAACCTACCAACGAGGGAATATAAGATCGAAAGAGTGAGGTGAGGGTGAGAGACGGAAAGAGAGAGAAAGCGAGAGAAAGACAGATAGAGAGCCTCCCACGAAGTTCTTCCCCCCCGATTCGCCGGCATAGACTCTCGTAAAGCTTAAATAAAGATAACCGAGGCTTAGGGTTGATATCATGCTGAGGGGGCGTTACGGCTGGTTGAGTCAACGAAATCAATTTATTCTCCCCTCCCGCGTCGCGGGCACCACCCCTCTTTGGCCCTCCTTCGGGGTCTCCCACCTCGACGAGGCGGCAGACGGGAAAAAGAGGGTGCGCTGTGTATGTATGTATGTATGTATGTATGTATGTGTGTGCACGCGTGTGTACGTCGTGTACACACACGTGTAGAGAGACAGATACACACCGGCGACCACATTCACACACGCGCGCACACAAAGTGCACCGGGGCCACCTTCGCAATACACACGGACATTTGTGGAAACGTAGAACGGGGTTGAAGCGCGATCGTGCGGAGAGACTCATCTGGTTTAATGGCGAGTTTATTTGGGTCGATTCCCCACCTTTTAATCAACAGGATTGCCTCAGACCGCCTACCGACACGGCCACCGACTACCGTGTAGGCCCACATTCTCTGCCTCACCACGTAAAATCATCCCCGTGAAGCCACTCTTACTACGGTCCCACTCTCCGTCTCACAAACCGTCCCTCTTTCCTGCGCTCTCACTCTAACCCTCTTTCTCTCCGTCTGCCGCGCACCCTCCCGCACGGAAGAGACGAGCTTGTGGCTGTTGGTTGGCGAGCTTTCGAAACCGCGGGGACGGTTATTACCGTTGGCTAATCCCGAGCTCGTTGCCTTCGTCCATTCTCTCGTCCCTTCTTCGTTCCGCTCGCATCCTGCTTCCTCCGATACCTCATTTTCTCTCTCTCTCTCTCTATCTTTCTCTCTTTGTCGAGCGAACGCGCAGTTAAACGAAATAAAATGACTCCTCGTCGTTCAACCAGACACTCAAATCGGTACTTGAGACAAAGTTGGTCGGGAATGCCTGGAAAGGAACTACTCGCAGTTACGACAACGCATAGACGGAGATTGTCGTGCGCGCGCGTGTCTTTTTGCAGAGACGTACTCGTATTCGTGTATCGCGAATATATCATTGTTGTTAACAATACAACAACACGGGAAATCTTTCGAGAACCGTCCCAGCCGCGCGTAAAATGAAAGATCCGTGTTTCTCCGTGAACGATCGAAGGTAGGTCTGTCCGCCGCGGTAATCCCCAAGCCGTAAAGGGTCAGTAAGAAAGAAGGTGGACAACGTTACAGGAGGAGGAATCCAATATGGACGTTGGTCAATCCGATTTCACGCACCCTCCGCCATCCGTCAAATATGTTATTGGATCCCCTCGCGCGATATCAGCGACTACCGAAATCCCGGTTAATGTCCATCGCGGCTCCGGACATGGTGCTCTCGCCGAGCGGAAGCCTTAGACGAGGAAGGCAGGGAGGCAAGGATGGCCGGCAGCTTCTTTTCGGCGGCGACGCTACAGCACGATCGCCAATGACGGCGCTATATGTACGCGATACTTTAGATATGAGGGACGCGCTTTATTATTGAAGACACTAAGTGGAGATTGTAGTAAGACATTGGACCGGGCTGCGCGAGGTTCGCGCCTTCTTTTACCGAGTCCGTCACTCGAGCCACGTTTCCGCCCTTCTTGACACGTCCGATGGATGGGCAGCGCGGATTAAATCCTGAATAATTCCGAGATATATTCGAGAAGTGGAATAAGCTCGACACGGAGGAGAGAACTCGCTCGGCGAGAAATCGCACGGAGGGCATCGCGCGGGCGGCTATCGACGAGATCGAAGGAAAGCGCAGGGCCAATAGCGACGTCGCAGTCGCGAATTCGCGCAACTCTTCTTTCGTCTCTCGGCGCGCTAACTCGGTCCTATAAATCGTGCGTTCAACGAGTAGTAACGCCCAACTCGTTTCGGTCCGGTCACAATCGGAACAATGACACGGAGAGTGTACCCTACCGGTAAGGCAGAAATATGGCGGTCCTCCTGCTCGATTCAGTTCGTCGGCTAGTCGAGAGATAGGAGGAAGAGGAAGAGGTGGAAGTGGCGAGAGCGAGAGAAAACGCAGAGGAAGAGTGCTGCATGAGGGAGAAAGAGGAAGAGAGAGAGAAAGAGAGAGACGAAGAAGCACGTTGTACGATAGAGACAGCGAGAAAGAGAGAAACAGTTAGACCCGGTGGGCGAGAGGGTGGCAGAGAGGGAGGGAGGACGTGGAGGAGGAAGTCGCGGCTCCACCTTCTTAATTCAGGGAGAGGCGATAAAAATGACAGAGCCACTGCTCGCCCGCGCTGACTTATATCCATTTACTACACAACGGGTGCCTGACAAAAAATAAGAATGGAATAAATAATAGCTTGCTCCTCATTCAAAGGATAACAAATGCGTCTCTGAAAAGGTTCCGGCTGACAATGGGGTGGAGAGTCGCTTACACACGGTCACCCTGTCTCTCATGTCGCTTTTCTCGCTCGCTCTCTTTCTCTCTCTTTCTCTCTATCTCTCTCGCCTTCCTCCTAGTCGTAAAGAACGCTCGCGGTTGTGTAACGAGAGTGTCTGCGACGTGGAGTTGCCGCCTTACTTAATGTTCAGCCTGTGCCGGACAAAATGACAAATTGTATCGCGAGACATCTATTTCGAAAGTGGCTTAAGATTCGAAAATAATGTCGAAATCGACACACCTCGTCGCCTTGTAATATGTGTGTACCCGCACTGTGGACGTAGAGAGAAACATCAGCCGGAACGGAGGTAGTGGCAAGGCCCCCGTGGGGGTCAGTGAGCGCTCTCAATGGCGAACGGAAAGAAAATAACACGTCGTCGTTCGTTTCGGCTGTCATCGAGTCTCATGACACGTCCCCACATTGCACAGGAAACGCACGGAATGCCGGAATACGTTCGGGAGAGACAGAGAGACAGAAGGAAAGAGAGAGAGAGAGAGAGAGAGAGAGAAAAGCAGTTGAGGCAATAGAGAGACGACACAATGCGGCCCTGCGCGCGATCTCCTCGCGAGCTCTCATCATGGCAGGTCTGGTCAGGCTGGGCCCGGCTAGCAACTCGCAGCCCACGAAAGAAACATCGGTACAAACGCGCAGCAGCGACGTGTCGACTTATATCTCGCTGCTGTATGGAGTAGACGTAAAGCGACTAAATCCGCGTCACCGGTCAGGAATAGCGACGTGAATAATGAAGGGGGACGAGAGGGCGGACGGGCGAAGAAGGGGATCACACAGTGGCGCGGTTCGGCATGTATAGTGAAATGCACGGGAGCGGAGACCCCTTTTCCCATTCTAGAGGGGGTAAGGTGGGCTCGCGGCGTGGAGCACAATGCGGAGCAGACGCGGTCCGTTGTTGCGCGCCGGGCCTAATCCGATTAGAGCATGCACCAAAAAGAGCAAACGCCCAAATCGCATTTATATTAGCTTCCTGAATGAGTCGTAAATATTTATGTTGCAGAAGCCTATGGAGAGAAGTGTGGGCACCGCTAATCGGTTCACGAATGTCGTCACAATTGAATTTTTCCCGGACGAGCTTTCGTACGGCGTGGTGAGTACTCTTTTCTCCTCTCCTCTCCTCTCCGATAGAAATCGACGCGCGAAGTAATGTCTCTCTCGTCAAATGTCGCGTGCATTTCCTGCATGGAATCGCGCGATTCCGAAAATTCGGTTACGATAATTTGCGCGCGACGGACGGACGGATGGACAGACGGACGAGTGTGCTCGGGGGTGAGGCTATATCAACGTAAAAAAAGCCAACACCTCCGGCAAAGTGTCGAAGAGCCCCTCTCTAATTATTCGGCATCGGAGAGTCTTTAGTTCGCGGGGCGCATCAATCACCGGCGCCTTGTCAGCCGATCGCGCAATTCCTGTCCGAATGGTGCGCGCCATCGCGTCTGGGCGGCGGACAAAATTTCTTCTTTCGCTTCCCCGGGTCGCGACTGCAAATGAGTTTATAAAGGCAATATCTCCGTTCGCGGTGTAGTTCGTCGAACCGCCTTCGTCGCCTCCATCGCCTCCGTCGCCGCCGCCGTCGTCGTCGTCCTCGTCGACGACGTCTACGACGTCGCCATCCCCTCTTCTCTCTCCGTTGTTCCCCCCTCTCTCTCTCTCTCTCTCTCTCCCGCGCGCACGGCGCTAATAATAAAGTTTCCTCGGGTGGTTCGACAACGCGTAGACAGATTTTTAAATTTCCCGTCACAAGGAAGAACCTCCTCTACCCGCTCGCTCTTTTCTTTCTCACCCCTTCTCGCTCCCCACTCCAGCCACTACCACCTCTTCTTCTTCTTCTTCTTCTTCTCGCTTACTATCCCCGACGGCTAGATATAACCACTCTCGATATAACCACCGGAGGCGACGGGGTAGCAGGAACGGACGCTCCCCCAAGACCGAGGGAAAAATTAATAAAGTTGAGGAACAAAGTAAGTTGGATGGCGTAATGCTGCTGCTGCCAGGAGAGAGGGTTGGTGCAAAGAGGGCGGAAGGCTTCCTAGGGTGGACTTTATTATAACGGAGTGTCGACTCTTTTATGCTTCCTCCGTCTCCACTCGCTTCTTCTTCTTCTTGTTTCTCCTCTTCCACTGCTTCTTCTTGTTTTTGCTCCGCGCCCTCTTACCTCGTTACGTTGCACCAAGTGCTGATATACACGTGGTAGTCTTACTTAACTTTGGCAAACCAACACCGTGTGCTCTCTCCACCGTCGTACTTTCCTCCTCTTATTTCGTCGTTACCTCGTATTCCGTGGTTCACGCTCGCGAGCTCAAGACACGATGGAAAAATTAATCGCACGAGACGCAGTCGCGCAAAATGTGTGCGGTCTACCTCGACAATGGAATCCCCCGGCGCCTTGTCGATATGAAAATTTCTAGTTGACCGTCGCTATGTCGTACTCCGCGCGCTTATCACAGTAGAACGCATCTTATAAAAAGAAATCAAAGGACCACGTGTGTGTGTGATGAAGGGTGAAGAAAAAAAATCACTCACACCCTCGACTCGGTATGAACCACCGCCGCCGCCGCCTACTCGAAGGTTGCATCAACGCTTCGATGTCCAATGGACGACGGTGCAACGCGAAGGAGAGGGGGACAGGGAAAGAAAAAGAAACAATAAAAACACGGGGAGGGATGGAAGGTGTGAGAAAGAAAGAGAGAGAGAGAGAGAGAACGAGCAAAGGGGGGTGTGAGCAACTCGAAGGGGAAATCGCGCGAGGGGGACGAAGATAGAAACGGCGGGAGCAGGACGAGCGTGAGAAGAGCGAAAGAGAGGCGATCGCTCGCGCAACGGTTGATGGACAGCGGCGCCAATTTGACGGTCGGAGGCTTCGGCCACGTGGGGCTCTTTTTTTGGTGGCGATGGCCGACCCTCCCCCACAAACGACTGCCAAGAGCCGCTGAATATTGCATCGGCTATTTGAAAGGGCTGCTGCAACGTCGAGAGAGCGTGCTGCGCGGGGGGAAGGAGTGAACGAGAACGAACGAGAGAGAAAGAGAGAGAGAGAGAAAGGTGGATATGAGAGGGGATGGGGGTTGCGGGGGAGAGGATGAGTAGACGAGAGCGCGGGATGAGTGAATCGGGCGACGGCTAGGGGGTCAGGGTGTAGCATTGGGTGGCGTCACACGCTCTACCTATACCACCTTGCACCACCACCTGCTCACCTCCACGGCCGCTTCCATCACGGCTCGTCGCTGCATATCACACGTCGGTCAAACGCCACTCTGTGCTAGCAATGAAATCGCTATACGTTCGTTCGTACGTTCGTACGTTCGTTCCCTCGTTCGTTCGTACGTACATTCACGTACGCGTGGAGTTTTCGCGTACGCGCGTGGGTGTGAGCGCGTTGCGAAAGTGTGCGAGAGCGAGCACCGAGAACCTCTATATCCATCCCTCGACGTGCATACGAATTATTTATTCCGTCAGGGCGTCGCTTACCGCTCCGACGGTTACCGTGCCGATCATCCAACCGATTTTCGGCACGGATGACCGTATATGGATCTTTGTTTTGCGCCGATTTTTTTCGTTTTCCGTTTCCCTCGATTTCTGCCTTTCTTTTCGTCCGTAGTGCCCGACGTGCGAGCGCGCGAGAACTGCGTGACCTTTCGTGAATATTTCCATTGTATATGGAGTTATAGTTATTTTGAGTATCGCGCAAATAATCAGACGAGTGAGGTCGATCGATGGGTTCTGGGGTGATGAACGAACCGATCGAACTTTGCTAACGGGAGTATCCGCACCGATTGATTTACAACGTATTGTTCCCCTCCTGCTGTCTCGTAGCGAAATCTGCGAAACAATTTCGAGAGCGACGCGGGAGTCCCCGCGACGGTTCTCGTGGAGGATCTCCGAGGGCACTCGTCGCCATGAAAAGAAGATGAGGCGCGAAAAAATTAAACGTCAAACCCCGGAGGGTCCGCGTCCCTTCAAAAGGCGTCACCGGGCCAGCGAGATAGCATAATCGCAGTTAGGCTCAATTCATTAGGGAGTTTAAAGGGCGGCGGAAAACGACGGCGAGCCCTTAATGGTTTTCTCAATTACGCGACCGAGTCAGCGGATGGCGCGAGAGTCTCAAAGCTGGCCTAGTCATCCGTAATAAAATAAATTAGGAGAAGTGAGCGGGATGGAATAGTGCAATTATTGGCTTGCCACTCCGGGGCAAACTAGATATAACGCCTCGCCCTGTCGTCCCCCCTACTACCGATTTCGCGTCTCGACACCCCCGCCCGCACTGTCGCGTTTGCGATAGCTGAGCCCACCAATTCACTAACGTTTATCACGGCACATCTGTTTATTCGTCTCGTGTATCTTCCAGTGTTATACACGAGAAGTGACTAGTCCCCAAATTTAGTCGCGATCGTTTCTTTTTTTCGTGTAAATCGATCGCGGCACGACGCCGAGTACGTATCGAACAAAAAAACGCGATTGTGTAGCTTATCTGATACTTACCACACAATTATTTGTGTCATAAGTACTTATATATACGTACTTGGTTAATTATATTGACCTAACTTCTGTTTTTAATATAATTAACTTAAAACATCTGCACTTTGTTTAAGTTAACTTTTTGTTTTGATAATTTTTGTATGATACTTTTTATTTAGTATTTTTGTTTTGGTATTTTTGTTTGATACGTATTTGATGTTTTTTTGTATAATCGCAAAAGAAATGTCAGACTTTGGATTTTATTCTTAGCTCTCTTTTATCGATAAAATCTCTAATGACTATAAGTCAATCAGAAAACTTATGTGTCACATTTAGAGGCACTCTTATCGATAAAAGAGTCCAAAATAAAGGCCTTAACGTTTATATCTGACAATTTTCACCTGGAAAGATACTAAAAAGAAACTTGATTATCGCTCTCGAAATTGAAGTAAAAATCTTATATCTGCAAATTGAGGAGATAAAAAAATCTCTCTCCTCAGAAATATATAATTCTGCTATCATAAATCTCACATTGTATGTTGGACCCCTACCCTTTTTTCGAGCGACGGACATAACAACGAACCAATAAAAAGTAGGAAAGGACCATAACTTCGGTAACGTCTTGAAAATTCTTCAAAAAAGAAAAAAGGCGTAGTCTTTATGTAACTATAAGTCTATAATAATATCTGCAACTCGAATTTTGCGAGCGGCAGCTAAACGTAGCCACATCTCTGCCAATGAGGACGTCTCATCAGCGACGATATCTTCTTCTACCCCCAATTTCCACGTCTAAACGGTCGCGATCGTTGAGTTACGCGGACTCGTTGGAGCGTCCCGACGAAACGCGCTAAGCAATCCGGTCGCGTACAACTTGAACCAATCCCACGAGAGGATAGCGACGAACGAGAGAAGCCATTACCGAGCAGAAAAGTAAGATCAGGATGCGGGTGGCGTCGCGACGCCTAATGAACCCATCAGCTTGGCGCGTGCCCTCCGCGCAGAGTTGTGATTAGACTGGGCATTGGCTTTCGACCGTGCCGAAACTTATCCGAAGCGCGCGACCAGTCCGAGAGAGAGACTCTGGCCGGGTTTCAATTATACCGAAGATTCTCCGGACAGTCGTTACCCCGGGAGATAATATCGTACGTGGTGGCCGAACGAGGAGAGCGATCACGACGAAATTAAATGTAGCCAGGACCGAATCGTAAGCGGCTCGCTCAATGCGATAACGCGCTCAAGCCCACGCTATTTGGCGGGGAAGAAGAAGAAGGATACGCGCGTGACGTCTCTGTAAAAGTACCAAGCCCCATTCAACGGGATGGCGAGTTGTTTTCAAATATTGACGGCCACGCTCTGTGCTCGTCGCTACTTTCTCACAATGGCCGAATCAAGCGGATGCGTGAACGACGCGTAACACAACCGTCTTACACCAAGGGGGAAGAGCAAGCCCGTAGGGTGCGAGAGGGCCATTCGAACGAGAGTCATTCGAAACATGTTTTCACGAATGACCGTGTAATGACGAATAATGGGGACCCTCCTGAACGACGACGACGACGACGACGACGCGCGTCTCCTCGGGCCGACATTTCTACGCCGCGTGATGCACGAGAAAGACGATCCAGAATGACTGATGAT